CCCTGGATCGGGTTCCTGTTGCTGCGCCTCACGTATGGTGTCCTCAATCTCCCATGTAATGGAGGCCACCACACAGGAGGCGGGCAGAATGGGCTTAGGAGTGTCATCAGTGGCTGGAGGGTTATATTATCGGGAGAGGGCATCGGGTTTCTGATTACGAGACCCCGGCCGATAAGAGAGGGTAAACCGAAAACGATCGAAAAACAAAGCCCATCTAGCTTGTCTGGGGTTAAGTCTCTTGGCTGTTTGGAGGTAGGCAAGGTTCTTATGGTTGGTCCATACCAAAAAAGGTTGGTCGGCACCTTCAAGGCGGTGCCACCATTCCTCCAGGGCCAATTTAACGGCCAGCAGTTCTTTGTTTCCTACATCATAATTTCGTCCGGCCGGGGTCAATCGCCGGGAGTAAAAGGCACATGGGTGCAAGGCATGGTCTTCCCCGGACCGCGGAGAAAGGACCGCTCCTACCCCAGTGTCCGACGCGTCCACCTCTACCACGAACTGCCATGAGGGATCAAGTTGGAGGAGTATGGGGGCTGTGGTGAACCGGTCTTTGAGGGTTTGGAAAGCCTGCTCCGCTGACATTTAGCAACAATTAACAAAGCTAAAAAATGTTTTCTTAAAAAAAATTTAAAAGTTGAGGGGGTTTTGAAAATTACAACATATAAGGGACAATATGCAGAAGCACAGACTGTATTCATAAACAGACATACAGCTAATTGGCACGCAGCCCTGTTGTTACTTGTGTCTGTGTCAGTTTCACAACTGTACTTTAACAACAGTTTCCTCAAAGTTAGCCAAGTGCTTTCTACTCCCTTCAGTAGACGTTAATACATTTGAACAGAGAGAATCTGTTACCACCAGTTGCTGCTGGGCTTGTTTTCTATCTGGCTGCGAATTTATTATGCATGATGAGTGTTGTTTTGTCCCTTTTTTTTAGTTTAGATATGTTTTGAATTCCATAGTGAGCAAGATAGCAATTAAAACTTGGACTGCAATGCTGTTAACAATTATTACAACTGATCAATTTTGTTTCACTGTGTACATGACAACATATTTAATAAAGCTGAGGAGGCACAAATTCACACTCACTTACAAATGGTAGTCCAGTACTCACTGTTTACCTGTGTGTATCTTGTACATTCACTAATAAACACATACTAATAAAAGTACAAATAAAGAGAGACACAAGGGAATGGGATGAAAAAAAATCTTTGCCTAAATATTTGCACCTACTGTAATTAACAGTTTACAACATTTCTATATCAGAATATCATACTTTTGGCGTATTTAGAGGTTAGATCATCAAGTAAGATAAGATTTTTTCCTCTCTCCTCTCCCCTTCTTCTGACACACAAAACAACCTTTCTCTCCCTCAGTGAGATTTTATGGTCCCTCTCCGTGTCATGTCCAATCCAAACAGCCTTTTTTAAAACAGGAAATACATTAAATTAAGTAGGCAAAATGCTCAAAATACTGTGTCAGAGTAACTTTACTTTTGGCCTTAAAAGTCCTCCCTCATATTCTCTCTGGGTTGAGTCCAGCCATCCATGAAAATGCTGTTCAATATTTAATTACAACCAACAAGAAAGTGACCAGTGAGACAAGTGAAACAATTTAGCTCATACAAGCACAGTAGGTGACTGAACACTATTTTTTCATTGTAATGAAATAGATTAAATTACAATGATCTCTGTAAAAAATGAAACTATAGTGAACATATTCAAGTGACCTTACAGAAGGTTTACAAGCAGACTGCAAATTAGAAAAAGCCTTCTGGCTGTTTTCCACTATCTTTATCACTCTGAGCATGAAGTTAAGCTTTTTCCGTGGGGTTTTCTATCATATACTGTTTGCTTTTTACTTATGTATTTATGTTTACAACCTCTTGAACCAACAAAACTCTCATTTAAATTTGACCTGTAGACACAAAATATTTGAACCTGGCTCAAAGAAATCATACAAAAACAAGCAAAAAGGAGAAGTGATCGTTTAAAGAATCTTGACCAAGCCGCACAGTAAATGACCTTGTGCATTGCACATACAAAATGATGTTGTATTTTGTTCCTGAAGTTGTGCAATCTGACGTGATGGACATTTGAATCAGAAAATTCTAGCTAGAAGCACATTTTTGGAAATAGTGAAAACAGTTGCTCTCCAGTGAATAAAATACCTCTCAATACAAACCAAGGTTCCAATTTGCAGTCACCTTACAGCCACGATGTTAAAGTTACATCATGAGTAATATACATCCTGATATCTACAGTGGGAAGCATATAAATGTATCCTATGGGTCCCTGATTTACTGTGCAGATCAGCATTTTTGAAGGTTCACCAGACAAAGACTTCTGGCTATTTGAAACTTCCATAAGCCTCTCTATATTGTGTTCTCACCTAATAAGGATGAATTTCTTTATTTTACTTGCTATAAAAGTCAGCCATCCAAAAACCAAGAGGGCAGCTTGAGCGGGTACGATTGCAGTGACAAGGTGATTGCATCAGCAAGGTGCTGCCACAATTTCAATCTGCTGCCCTCCTCGAGGGTCCTGAAGGAATCATATTTTTCTGAAAAGTTTTTCATGAATATATTCTATGTCATTAGTGTCCAATGCACACATTCTCAAATGCTGACAGACCACGGTGTATAACACTAAGCGTGACCTGTTCATTTCCACATTACGTTGGTATTTTAAATTACGTGTGTGTGTGTTTGTCCATAATTTCAGCTGGGAAGAGGAATAACATAGCACTTTTTCCACAAATTGAGGACAAGTGAAAAAAAGCATGAAAACACGCTCACAGTCCCTCACAAACACTCACATACATAATCATGCCAACAATCACTGTCCATTCAGCTCTGCAGATATCACTTGTGCTTTTTCTGCAAAGAGATTTATAGTAGTGAGGTGAATTAAGGTCTAGATTAATTTAGCACTGGTATATCAAGTTGACAGGCTGTGTATGACTGTGCATGCATAAGTGTGTGTTTATGTGGGTGTGCTGAATGTGCTGATGTATACTCATGGAATTTAAAAATGCACCACTAAAACCAATAATACCGATAGAGGTGGTGCATCTTTAAATTCCATGAGTATATTGCTGTAACTGTTTCTATTTCTGTTTCTAGAAAATGAGGTATGTCAGGATAGCAAATGACTTCTGACTTCACACAAGCACACATTTCTGCTTTGATGCATTCACACCTTTTCTCTTTCTCTTTCTGTATATACTTTTTACTGTTCCAAATAATTATCCAAGCAGGTGAGAAGAATGAGTCAGGGGGTACAAGGGTGACAACATGCAAAAACATACACAAGCTCACACATATAATGAGTACACATATAAAGAAGTGTGCTTACACAGCTGCTGCATAGCATTGCATAAGTCCAGAGGTTGACAAAAATGCAGCTTTCATGACCTCAATCCTATCGCCATGGTAGCACTCAAAGGAAAGCCGCTCCGGGTGAATGGATCATTTTGTAGTTGTGACTTAAGACTGTGAGGCAGATCGATGCCGAGGCAAACACACACATACACACACAGAGCAACACTGGATCAATGTATATTAGTTACTTTTCTGTTGATTTAAGTACAGGCGAGTCCTGCCAGCCTGGCTGTTCCTTTGGCCTCCTCTTGACTCTTTCTGACTACAAGCTATTTTTCCCTGCAGATGGAACAGGCCAGAGGCATCTATGTGTACATTTTATAGGTGTGAGAACTGATAGCATGTACAAGAGATGATGTCAGACAATGTGGAAATAATAACACCAAGATGTTTGTGCGTATGTGTCTGCGAGGGCAGGCAGGGGTCTTTTCTCCTTGTACCCACATTGCTGTCCTCGCTCTGTTTCCCTCTCACCTCTGTTCCTGTGTGCAGGCATATTACTGAAGCAAATTGGGGCCAATAGACTCTGTCACTGCATGACCCAGGGCTCAACAAACAGAAAAGGAGTAAGCAAGAGAGAAAAGGGCAAATAGAGGGGGATACCAGCAGAGATACAGGGTAGAAGAAAAAGAGGTAAATAATTGGAGATGGTAAAATAAAAAAGGTGGGACAAAACAAGAGCTACAGTAGCAATGAGAGGGAGAACAAGTAGGAGACAGACAGAGGGAAGGAAAGGAGCAGAAGAGAATGAGAGAAAGAAGTGACAACCTCAAATTAAATTCCCATCATGTCAGCGTAGAACAGAATTCAATAGTGTTTATTGGCATCCCCTTGCCTCAGGGAAATTACATTCTGAAGCAGAGCATGGCATGAATGCACACACATCCCTGAGAACATGCACACACTCACACATATATACACAAGCAAGCACGTACAGTATATCTATTGTACACAACTCTTTTTAGACCAAAAAATACAAAAAAAGGCCCTCTGGCTGATGTGAGCATGCAGACAGGCAATTTATCCCCTGAGGTTCATGTGCTTTTTGTACTGCACATGTTTGTGTGTATCACTACCCATGTTTGCACAACTTTCTATGCGTGTGTGTATTTGTGTGGAACTTTCTCTTTCTTACATACACAGTTTTTCTTGTGTACACAAGTCTATGTTGATGCTTGTTTTTTTCTGTCCATTGGCCTCAAGTGCCTCAGACAATTTGCCATTACAGTACATACATAGGTTTTTAATATCGTAGCTGCATTAAATGTGTCCCCAGGCTCAAGCTGTCATGAATGCAGGACTTCAGTGCCTTTGTCCAACCTCCAGCAGCAAAGGCAATGCTCTTTAATAGGAAGCTGTTTAGCTGTTTTATGCAGAGCACTTGTAGAGGCTATTACTGCTGATGTTTCTGGGATGCAGATTTGCTCTAAAAGGCTAACAATCTGCAATGCTTTCGATCCCCTTCCCCCCACTCATCTTACTCTCTATTACTGTCCCTCTAACTCTCTGTCTCTGTCTGTTTATGCCTCTATCTTGACTCTCTCTCTCTCTCTCTCATTTCTCTTCCCCAATCCCTCCAATGCTCTCACTCATTCTCTATGTTTCTCTCTTTCCCTAGGAGCGTGCAGAAAGGGCTTTGGGCTGCTCAGTGGAGGATTTGAAGGCTCTTTTCTACTGTGAGCTGTGTGACAAGCAGTACCTCAGACACCAGGAGTTTGACAATCACATCAACTCCTACGATCATGCGCACAAACAGGTACATTGGGTGCACCTGCACTAGAGCTACATGCACACAAACACACACACATGCTGTGTACAGTTGGTGCACACAAGCAGATATTTTTATGATCTGTTGTCAGAGAATTTGGGTGTGTTACCATTATGTTGATGGAAGGTTACTTTACATTTTCATGTCAGTCTGCCCATTGGGTTACAGCTCTCTAGCAGGTAACAGTAGGAGTATGACAAGCGCATCATATCTTATAAGCACACAAACAGAGGGGGAACACTTCACCTCAAGGCAGACACACACACTCTCAAAGCTCCTGCATTTATAGTTTAGATTTACATTTTAACAGGCTGATATCTTGAAGGATGAAGCAGGTTATTTTCTAAATTAATAGTATTTTAAACACTCCCCATACAGAGATGAAAATCAACAACGAATCGCCTCTACTCACTCTTAATGTCTGTCAGCTATTTGTCAGTCCTGAATTAGCTTATCCTGGCCCTCTCATGTCTGTAGCTGGCGAGGACAAATATATAGAGACACCTCTAAATATAATGTAGTCCAGTACAACACCACCTTTATCTATGACCTCAATAATAAACATATAATTGAATTTATACATTTATGACAAAAGCTGAAACATTTTCAGCTTCATAAACACAGATGTTAAGGCGGAAGTGTTGCATTGAAGTGCGTACAACTGTACAGGTGTACAAAAATGGCTGAGTGTATATTCTTTTTGCTTCCTTAAAAGTTATTCACAAAGAAAGACACACAGCCTACAGTACATTATTGTAGACAGGGATGTTATTTATGTTTGGGTTCAGTTAGACTAGAGGTCTACCTGAGTGAATACTACATCAAAAATCAAGTGACTAAGTAATAATAATAATTAGAACATACAGTATCTGGAATAGACTCAGGTGGGTGAAGTGTCTTATTCTCAGCCCATCAGCCGGCCAAGACAGCAACCTTAGCAACGAGAATGAACACAAAATCATATTTAATCTCCAAATGACAAACTGAGTATTTTTTAGTTCAAAATTCAGAGCAGCTGATTTGTATGTATCTTGTATATACGGATACTGCTACAAAATTCACTTTATACCTGGATTTGTAATTCCTTTAAAAAAATGTTTTGTACTAAATAAAACATGGAGCTATTAGTCATAGCTCAAGTATGACTCTGCTATTTGAGTCTGGACAAGATGAGGTCAATGGACCATTAAGGAAAAACCCTGGCAGCAGGTTTTCCCCTGCCTTCTGCCTTCACATACATTTTCACACAGAACCTCCACTCAGGACTAACAAGCTGAAGGTTCCACCGATAGCTCATTTTCCTACAGCGTTCTGTTGCCATGCCAAGACACACACTCGCATGCAAAAACATACAGAAATGCATTTCCCTGTTTACACACTTGTCCTCAAACACAGGCAGCCTCGCAACCAAGCCAAGCCGCTTCCCACTTCAGAACGCCCACACTGCGCAACATGAAATAAACATTAAATAAGACTGTTCTTCATCTGTCATTGCTCTTTGAAAATGAATTGAAGCAACTGCAGGCCAATGTTAATGCTTTGTTTTAGCCAGCGGCAGGCGAATGAAATGAGCTGAATGAGGCACTGAGTTGACAGTAGCCACTGGCACCCTAAAGAGCACACACACACACACGCATAAAGGCATGTGTGCACAGTCTGCCTACCGAACAGACAACAGATGAAATTCTAACTGAAGTTTCCCTGGAGGAGTATTGGCTTTGGAGAATGGAAGCTGATTGCGTTTGCTGTCTCCTTTACTTGTCATCGATTCAGAGATAAACATGTCTGAATACAACGCTTTATCAGCATTTACTGCTGATTACTGAAATACCTTTTAAATAAAAGAGCAATCAGTCCATTAGCATGCCCTCTCACATGTTACCTAAGAATCCCTTATACTAAGGACCTAGTGAATCTGAGTCACCTCTGACTCATCCATACTCAGCCTGAGCACGCCTTAATGCATCTAAAGCATGGATTTTCAACTGATTGTGAGCCAGGGACCACCACTGTAACTAGCCTGAGGACCACTGTTGTGTGGTGGATAGACCAGATGAGCACTATTTTAATCTTGAAAATCACCTTGGCTTTTCTAACTTTTATATATTTGAATTAATTTCATTATTCACAAACAATAATTAATGCATGGAAATGGGTTTAAAAACTAAAATAAAATAAATTTTCATTCCCATAGTGAAATTACATTATTGAATACATGGTGACAGACCACCACGGGGCCACAGACCACTGGTTGAAAACCCCTGATCTAAATGACAATAGATCGAGGCTTTACCAGACACATTGAGCTTCACAGCACCTAGCTAGACTGGCATGTTGTAAAGCAGGGGTAATATCTCTTTCCGCTGCTGGGGACATGACATCACCTTTGAAGACAAAGGTATCCACTTTAAAGCCCTGTGTGTTTAGTGGAAATGGTTCTGCGTGCAATATTTTGCTTTCCTCTAAATTTAGCTACAGGTTTGCCTGTAGTGGGAAATGTTTTTAAGAAAGAACAATAACCTGCAGGGTGCAAATGCGAGAGGAAAGAAGTATTCATCTTCAGATATGCCATCTATTATAAACGTCTTTCTCTCAGTCATTGCCACAGACAGCTACAGTATAGACTGTGGTCTTTTCCTCCTCCCTTCTTCCTCTCCGTTCCTGGCTCTGACCACAGTAGTTTATTATGTATGCCTTTGCTTGAACATGATTAATATTTCCAATAGAATTGGTTTGGCATCAAGGGCTCTCCAAGCTGCTTACCACACACTCACAAATACACGCACATATGCTCACACTCATCTACAGTGAGCGAGCACTTATACTCCAAGACATATACAAACCCACAAGTGCTGCTCTGTTGGCACATAGTTACCGCTGTCATCAGTGAGCTGACAGTGGGATGTTAAGCATCAAGTGATAATGTAAAAAGACACACGCTTGTGTAAGACTCGGTGGAGATTAACCTGATAACTGCCAGCTCCTGCATAAGATCTGGGTGTGAAAAAGAGTGAGTATATAAATAAATCAGATATCTGAGGGTCTAATCTGATGTGTACAGTGTGTGTGATAATATTGTATGGATGGATAATCCAAAACTGAGAGTGGTGTAATCATGTACCAACTTATACTTCAGGATAGAGTTCCAAATATATAAAATAAGCAACGAATGCTGCACCTATAAGCAATATTTGGATTGTACACTGAGGTAACTAAAGTATATTGGGAAGCACAAGAAAATAAGACAGGAGATAGGAGGGATGGTGCTGAACGATACTGCAGCTATTCCCAAACTCCTGAGTCCCTCCATAGCCTTCAGACACACATACACAGAGAAAGACGCCAGCAAACACATACACATACGCACACACCTGCCAAGCACGGATAAAGGAGGGATTAAAGTGTGCCAGAAAAGGAAACCAGTGAGAGAGGCATGAATCATTGTTTCCCTGAGAGGACTGGCACACCTATATCTATAGACACATACTGTAGTTTCATGAATACACTCAGCACACACAGAGAAAACAGAGCTAATTGTTAATTGTCTGCACTGTGTTGTAGGTGAAGGCCCACCAGTTTGTTCACACTCACATTTGTATGTCTCACACTCACCCAACACATACACCGCTCCAGCATTTTTCCAGCTGAATTCTCAAGCCTTTAAGATGTCTCTTAATGAGCAGTGGCTGTGTGTTTGTGTTTGGTGACTTGTAATTTCACATCAATGACTTTGGTACACTCCAGCTCTAAAGCAGACGTCACTGACTCAGAAGCCCTTACTGAGCAACGAAGAGCTGAACGTTTTGAAAATTTCAGTGGCAAAGCACTAGACTGAAAACGGCGAAGCAAAAAGAAAACTGTCAGTCCAACAGACTCAGAAAGAGCAACATCGTCATTAACTCACTCATGTCACTCATCTTAATGGCATCTGTAATCTGCTATTCACCAGTTGAAATGTGTTTGCTCTCAAGCTGTGTGTGGAAGGAAAGATGCTTTCTTCCAGGCTGAATGAAGTTAATTGGACATGAGCATTGGAGAAGCACATCTGCAAATCCTGCTGACTGATGTGTACGGTTTGAGAGACAGCTGCCTGCAGAGACGTTCCTAAGACTAAACTCTCGCTCTCTTCTCTCCTCTTTGTTCCACTCTTATGGATCCCTTCCTCCTCGCTGCTTCTGCCCCTCCTTCTTTTCAATTTTCTTTCCTATAGAGGCTGAAGGAACTCAAGCACAGGGAGTTTGCGCGCAATGTGGCCTCAAAATCATGGAAGGACCAGCGCAAACAGGAGAAGGCTCTCAGACGCCTGCACCAGCTTGCGCAGCTGCAACAGGAAGGTCAGAGGTGAGTGGGACAAGTGTGTTTTTGTGTGTGTCTGTGGTTGTGTGTGTGCATAATGGAACCGGGGGCAGAAGTCCAGAGAGCATCACATCTAGTCAGTGTTCTCAGATTTGATGGATGTCTCCATAGATGTGAGAGCACACAGTTGGCCTAGATAGACCACAGGTGAAGTAAATATAACATGAAGACACATTTTTGCTGACACTGTTAGAGTGGGTGATTTGTAGGAGGGAGAGATGGAGTTTTAAAGAAAAACTGAATAGTAGAAAAAAGTTGGCTTTTATTAAGTACTATAAATAAAATGAGTGAAACACGTTGAAAAATGGAACTTGCCACTGGGGTTGCATACCTAAAGCAATCAAAGCAGGTGATAAAAAAAAAAAACACACAATACATCACATAATAATCAACTTGATTGCACCTATTCCCAGTACAATTAAATGTGTGCTCCTATAATCAGATGATGACATGTGCACAGCATTACTATGACTACCAGCATTGTGTATCTGCTTTTTGTCTTTGTATTTCTTTCACTATTTCTTTCATGGTTTCTCTCTTTCTTTGGCCTGCATATCTAATTATCTTATATATCTTGGACTCGGACTTGAGCACTGACTGCATTTGGACGCAGAAGTTGCAGACTCAGACTCAAACTTTTTTTTTGTAATAGGTCATAATAATTTGGCCTAAGATATTGATATTAAAACCTGTTCATCTGCACCATGCTATATCCTGCACACTTCCACAGAAGGGTACACTTTGCCTTACTATAAATGATTTTTATACATCAAATTGCTGAGCAATATGGTGATCCACTGTTAAAATGTTTGTAAAATAAAATGGTGTGGGCTGTATCAGTTGTGTTTAATGTGGCACTTGATGACTCTGCCTAAGGGTAACGGAGACTCAGGCTCGACTAGGACTCGATTCAGATTATTCTTTGGTGACTCAGACTTGAATACAGGGGACTCGAGACTCAACTAGGACTCAAGGTTTAGTGACTCGACTGCAACACTGCGCTCAGAACTGTCATTTATAGGTGCAACTAACTAACTAATAATTGACTTCATTAAATTGTTAAAGCTTTTGTTTGATTTTCTGTTGATAAACTAATTTATGTTTTCATGATGGGTTAACTTTACTTGTAAATTTATATACCAATTAAAGGCTGAATTAATTTGGAAGAGTAACTTAACTGCAGGCTTTAAAAAAATCTATGTTTTCTTGACCTCTCAGATTAATGTTTCAAGCCTGCTTCACCTCTGATTGCATCCAGCATTACTGACGTGTGCGCTTTTGGGAAGGGGAGGGGCATCTGTAATCAAAGCTGTTGTGATGTTACAGGATCTTAGAGTATATTTGTACATCACTGCATTAAGGTGAAAAATTAAACCACTGGAACTCAGCAAAAACAAGATGTCAGGGGTTGTTAATTTACCATGTGATTAAACTGTGCCAACCTAAAGTGAAGTAAAGTGCAATCATTTAAAGTTAGGTGCATTTGTTCTGTCGCCTCCTGTTGCAGATTTCCAGGAAAGACTTATGGGCTAAGAAGTACAGTCAGTTCAGTGGGCCAACAGCAAGATAGAGAGATGGACCAACAAGACTACAGCCCTGAGGACAAACCTGAACCCTTCAACTGCACCCAGAGACCCCCTCCTATGAAACCCAGAACAAGTCCCCTCAGCCACCAGTCAGAAAATCCATGCCAATCTCCTTCCCAGATACCGCTGGCCACTGCTGTAGTAGAGTCCCCATTAATCACACATCCAGCATCTAATAGAGACTCTCCTGCAGTGAATCCCCCGTCTTGCCTGGATTTGCATTCCCAGTCACCTCTTCCTGGTCGAGAGAGAGTGGGAGGCAGGCTTGGAGTGTCCTTTTGCTTCTCAAGAAGGGGACCTAGGCTAGAGCCTTCTGCCTCTGTCTTCTCAGACCTGGAGGAAGAGGAGAGAGAGAAGAGGGAACAAATGAAACAACGGATAAAAGGAATAATGGAAGATATCGACAGGGAAATTGGGGCAGCAGAAGATAGGAAACATGGTGAGGGTGACAAGCATAAGTCAAGCTCTGACAGTGTTGGGCCAAACGACATGGAGCCAATGTCCAGTGAGACTGTGAGAAAAGAGGAGAAGGTTGAAAAAAGATACATGGTGAAAGAACACTCTCCTATTTCAACAGCAGAACCCGATAATCAGACTCATGATTCGCTGTTCTCACCATCACAGACCCAGGCGACCATATGGGGCACAGCATTAGCAGGGGCAAACACCGAACAGATAGCTAGTGAGACAGAGACACAGCAAGAAACAGAGGGGAAGGGGGAGGATAGTCAGTATATGTGTGTGCTGGGGAAAGATGGCGCTACCAGTCTGAGATGGCCTGTCAGTTTGCTTAGATTCACCAAGTCTCAACCACACATTTCCTACAGCTGCAACCCACTTCGCTTGAACGCCCAACGACCAGATCAACTCACAGAAGATCTGCAAGAGTCACAACAAAGTCAGGTGTTCGCCCTCTCAGATGAATCAAATCTTCTCGGGTCGGCTACTCTTCCATCAGACTCTCATTCCTGTTTAAAAAAACAAACAAGACATGGGTTGAGATCACGCAGACAGAAAAAAGCTGAGGAGAATTTTAAGGCAGAGCAACATATCGATGCGGAGACAGAAGCACACCTGCTCCTGAACAACAAAAACCTTTCATCATCAGAAACAAGACCAGAAAGAGGAAAATGCATGCTAAGTGTGGAGAATTGTGTGCGAGCATCCTCCCATCCATTTGACCCCGCTCACAGTGACAGCTTTGACACAAACTCCCAGAACCCTCTGGGAGGCAGATTAGGGAGTGCGAGAGGGATCAGGGAGAGAGCCATCATAGCCCTGAGCTGTAAATTAGAGTCTGTCACCCAAACTGGCACACAGGGGATGTGCATCAGCCCATCCAGGTGTGAATGTGGGAGTGAGACAATGTGCAAGTGTGCCAGCTCTCCACAGCCATATGTGGATGTCTCAGAAATGTCACGCAAAAAGAGGAAAGCCACCGCAAAGAAACACAAACTAGGAAAGAGGAAGAGGGGTGAAAAGGAAAAAGCTTCAAACAAGCACCAATCAGCAAGATGCAAAATGAGGAGTGTTGTCTCTACAGTCTTCACTGGAAAAGAGAGGAACAGGGAAGCTGGAGGGAGCTGGGGGACGAAAAGGGAGAGTGGGGAGATGCGGGTGAGGAGGAAGGTGCGGAGAACAGGGAGCAGATGTCTCCTGAGGAGGTGTGAGGCTGAGCCAGTATCTGTCTCTGTCAGGAAGAGGAGGCCTCACAGCAGCCACGGCACTGAATCCCAGTCCCAGTCTGACAGAGTGCAAGCAGAGCACCGCAGTGCCTACTCCCAGCTCACCAGACACACAGCAGACAGAGACACTGAAGGGGAGGGCGAGCGAGATGGAGATGCTGTGACTTTTCCCTGGCGATCTCACTTCTCTTTACACCCCTTCTCACCAGGATGTAACTCAAAGCTGTTTTGGGAAAGGGGTCACCATAGCAACCCCAGGAGTTTCATTGACTGCTGTTACCCTGACAACAGCTGTGGTAGCAGTCTGGCGAGAAAGAGAAAACTCCTCCACAGGGACAGAAAATTCATTCATAGTAAGAGGAATAGTTTGAGGCATCATGAAGTCTACGAAGAGAGAGACTGGAAAATGGGAGGGTGTTCGGGATACAGAGACAAAGGCCTGACTTCAGATACAGAATGGGAGTGGATGAGAGGGAACTGTCCTGGAGGTAGTGAGGACAGAAAGTCGAGGACCGGGTGGAGATCCAGAAACAGAGCAGTGGAGTGGGAACGGGTGGCAAGGTTTAGCATCAGTCCTAGCAGCTGGGGCAGGAAAAGCAGACATCTTAGCACAGAAGATGCAGACTGGGACAGGTGCAGCGTGGACAGATGGACGTGGGGCAGCAGTGACAGCTGGGAAGACAGGAGGACACACAGATCAACGTCAGGCTCCAGGACAGGGGCTGACAGCAGAGACAGCCCGAGCTGTTTGTGGCGATATACAGATACCAGACGTTCGAGCTCAAGACACTTCTCCAGCCCAGAGTGGTGGGCAAGCAGGCAGACATACAGCCCCCAGAGTGTGATCAACACACGAGGCAGCAGGTGCCGCAGCCTGCATTCCTGTAGCCCCTGCAGCAGCACCAGCATGTCCGAGCTGAGCTGGGAGTGGAGCAGGAGCAGTACATGCTCAGGGGTCACAACGGATGGGTCGACAATTAGGTCATGCAGGACGTCCTCAGGAGCTCCAGGACCCTCATCTGGGGTCTCTCATGAGGCAAAGAAGCAGAGCAGCTCCGCAGCCAATTCCACCAGCCATACTTCTAGCTTCTTCTCTCCCTACACATCCTCTTGTGCTTCCACAGTTTCAACACACACAGTTGTTACACAAGTCCATCACAGCCAAAGGAGCCCAATTCACTGTCTGAACTTGGCCACGCACACTCTACCCCTGTCACCACAAGCTTGGCAACCAGTTTCCCAGGATTATCTGGCCCAATAAAGTCTCTTCCACAGAAACCAGCTAGGACATTGCTTCTCCCCCTCATAGGAAAACTACCTGCAATCCAGAGAAAGACTAGGAGGAAAAGGGGCCTGCTGGCAAAGACACAGGAGAAGGAGGGAGATGTGGAAGAGGAAGCTAAGGGCAGGAGATTGGATCCTGAAGCAGTCATCAAAAATCAGAAATGTCCTCTGGATATGGCTGAGTCAAACCCCAGCAACATGCCAAATATCTGCCTGTCACAGATTAGGACTGATGACAAACAGGCAGGTGGAGAGACAGTGCCGCCAATCAGCTTTACTGCTGAGGAGATGGACAAATATCGCCTCCTGCAAGAGCAGGCAAGAGAGCACATGCAGAAAGTCCTGGAACAGACACAAAAACTCCCAGATACACACGCTGAGGCACACTACACACACACCACACAGACAGAGAACAGTGGGGCTTTAGAGGAACCATTCGCCCTTGTACCTATACACTTGCACAACCCCTCACACCCTCAAACCCAGTCAGTTCACACAGATACAATGCAAACACAAGCACAGCACATCCTCCAGGTCAGTCTGCCTGTTCCACATGTGACTGCTCAAGAGAACTTTACTCGAACCATGGCACCAGGAGTTCCCAGCTTCCCCCATCTTCTACCCTCCCCCCCTCTCTCCAGCCTTCATCACATCATTCTACAGCACACAGCCCTCTCCATGTCTACCTCCTCCTCATCGACTTCTTCCACCTCACCCCCCTCTCCTGCTATCCATCCACACCCAGCTGAGCTCCCACACCCTCTCCCCCCTCTCCACCCTCCTCTCCCTCATCACCTTCACCTCTCTCCCTTCTCCATATCATCCCTGGTTCCCTCCATTCTACTGTCCCACCATCCCATCCCCATCCTCCCTCAGTCTCCTGCTTTCCATGCAACCCCACTCAGTCCGCTCTCCCCAGTAGCACTGCAACCCCTGAACCCACACCCTTTCATGGACAGAATGTGGCCAGTGAGGTTTCAACAGAAGGCGATATAATTTTCAGTGTGGCTGCCATGTTTATTAATCCTCCTTGGCAAAACAGACTAGTGAGAGAGAAAGAGACGGGACTTTTGGTTTGGACAAAAACCTACTATTTGAAATGTGGATGTGTCAGTGCTTTTTCTAGCATCAACTCTTTTTCACATATGGCCTCACAGACAAACACAAGCAGTCCATCTATTGACTGTTTTCAGTTGAAATTTTGTTTCTTCTTTTAGTCTCTATTGTGTTGCAGCAGACAGTGAGATAACAGACTTTGATCCTTTGCTATTTCCATCATTCCTCATTCAGGCCCAGAATAAAGGGAAAGGTGCACCTGCTATTCAAAGACAATGTGTGTTTGTGTCATCCTTTTTTGAACCACAGACAAACCAGCTGCCTTTTGAAGTATCCTTCAGGCAAGGGGGACAGAGGGGCAAGAAAAAGTGATAATACTTTCCCCCTATCTTCATTTTCAACAGGTTATCTGAATAAGAGTGCGACAGTCAACAAACCTAAATAATTTTCCAATGACCAGAGGCATAGCACACTCATTTTAACCTTGGTATTTAACCTCTGTATTTGTGTGTGCGTAATATAGAGGTAATTCTGGACCGACACACATACACAACAGGGAGGAGCTCATTTCCTTATATGACACATGTAAAGATCTATTTTGTCTCTACAGTGTAAATATTCTGACAGTGAGTGATAATATTAGAATAATGAGAAACAATAAAGAAAATGATGAATTTGACCTTGACCACTAGTTCAATGCTTATTTCACACTCTATGGCTTCAGTAAACACTTTGATATGACATGACACCTAACAAATCAGTTGCTGAGACAGCAAGGAAAGAAACAAATCTGCTACTTTACAACCTGGGGGAAAATAAAAGGGCTTTAATGTTTAATATGCATAATATTTTGAAGCAGGACTTTGATTATATCATTTCCTCATTTCTTGATCTTGCAATCCCTTAGAGTCCTTTTGGGGCTCGTTGTGTCCTGATCCTCCAGGGGCCTGTTGTTCAGAAAGTTTAATCTGGAACAGAATGATCGGAATGTTTTGTTATCCAGGATCAGGTCATCCATATTACATCTGTGCCAGTTTTTGAAAGCTTTTTGAAAAGGAACACCCAAATTCGGATTAGCAGTGCTCTAAATGGGACTACGTATCACAATGTAGGCAACTAACTTTGTAAAAAGACATGTAAACTAGCCAGCATGGGGTCACTACCTGTTTTTGCTTGTGTTATTTTTGTTTTTAACAAAAAAAAGGCAGAATTAAAAAAGACAAAGATCCCCTTCTTTTCACAGGGTTGCTTGCCCTTTAAGAAGTACAATAGTTTTTTTTAATAGTATGTTATTAGTTCTTTAAATACCAAACCCATGAATGATTTTGGCCAACAAAGCTCATTTCATTATAGCATCCACTTTGACCTTCGGTTCTCTGTTCTCAGGATACCCAAAGCCAAAGCCAACAAATACCGGATCAGTTTCAGAACAACAAACAATTACTCTGCACAAAACAGTTGTGCAATGCATGCCGTGTCTGAATATCATATATGTCAGGTAAAAACGACCTTTTTTACATCATTAACGAAGCATTACTGAGCTTCTTTCTTTCATGTTTTGCCAAGGGTTATTGTGGTTACTGACTGCTGCTACGCATCCACGTTGTATTAAAGTGTTGATCACTGCAGCGGCTGGCAACCAGGGAGCAGAACACAGAAGAGAGCAGACCAGCATCCAGATGGTCTATGGACTCGGACTACCCAGAGCGCTTTGAGAGATTGGATTGATTTGCCCTCCATGATATCAGCGAACACAGCTCCACACACGGGGGGGGGGGGGTGACAGCAAGGGGTGACATGAATACAGACACAAAAACAAAAACGTGCACTCCCAGTCCTGAGGTGTTGGCTAGAAATATAAGTAAACTCCTGCCGAGATTCAGTAATTAGAGCACTGTTCCTCTTTCTCCTCCTCATAATCTGTGAGCTTATGAGCTTCTGTGTGTGTGCATATATATATACATACATGTGTGAGTCTGTGAGAAACAGAGACAGAGAATCACTATTTCTCGCCACAGGACAGGAGATCAAACAGACTGTGTGAAATATAGAGTAGTAATAATTAGCAGCTGTTACAACATCAAACCTCCTGATCTCTCCCTCTCCCTCTCTCCAACACACTCACTCACACACACCCCGCTGTTCTGTTCTTATCCCAGAGTTTAATTTAAAGATATTCAAATGAGCTTCAGTGCTCCAATACTGTTAATCACAAAATCAACCCATTCCAGTTTTATCTCCATCTTCTCTCCAATTCATATGCACAAACTAAAAGCTTAAAAGAATAAAACGTTATTTGGAAAGCCTGTTTATCCATGAATAGGCACACCCACATTATGTTATAATGCAACATTGTGATCACACACACATACACCAGATTCTTCTGGAAATTTGCAATCACGATATCACTGTACTGTCTGTCAGTGACTGATTAAATCATTACCTAAGCCCTCATATTTGCCCCCTGGTGTGTTCCTGTTTTGTGTGTGCATCCGTGTATGCACATATGTGTATTTGTGAGCTCGTAGAGGCGTATGGGTTGATTTATAACAGAGAGGAAGCAGTTTCCTCAGTCAATCGCGACGGTGAATTAATGACGTATAGAAACCAAAGATGGTACTCAGGCAAATAGACCAGCAGTCACAGAGGGCTCACTGCCGGGGTAGGATCACTTCTATTGGCACCACATTTGATTGTTAGATTGTGGGTATAGATTGCACTGAGCAAAAAAAGCCCCTCACGGCTACTGAAGCAATCCATCAACCCAAACTGCAAGGGTGAATAAATAAGACACTTCCCATCTCTTGCTCTCACACTTTCTTTCTTTTCTTTTGGTATCACCTCCTCCCCTTCTCTTTGATTCATCCAGGTCAGTGGGGCTGATTTCAGCTCCCCCGGCTGTTCTCTGACTGTGCAGAAGAAAAAGCACCATGAGCCTTCATCCTCTCTATTCCACTATTCTTTTACATGTTGGAATGATGTTGTACAGCACAAACCTTCACAGCACAATGTGCTTTGCCATATTATTATTATACAGAGAAAGGCCTTTCCATACCTTTTCACTCACCGTGACATTCATTAAAAGTTTTCTTAACTCATGGCAGAGTGCGACACACACTGCCAGGCTGTTCCACTCAATTTACATCTTTTTACTGAATCTCTTAGGAACAGTAGTAGTTATACTAAGCGCAAAGATAATATTCTAGCAATTCCACTGAGCCACCAAATGACATTCAAAAGTTACTAGTAAAATAAGTTGGGAAAGACTAAGCTGCAGATTTTAGAAACTTTATGGAAACTTTCTAGTTTCCATTAGTTAAATAGTCAGGTGTCCAGCAGAAAATCTCAGTTAATCATACATCTATCAGCCACAACATTAAACCCACCTGCTTAACACCGTGTACACAGGAGTGCGGCAGTCGGTCAGCACTCATGTTACTCTGCAGCTCACTGTGCATCTTCTGTGAATCTATTTGCTTCCATAGTTGTACTGTTGGGAAGAGCACAAAAACTTGTGTTAAAGGATTAAAAACTGGCAGTGAAGACAACTTAGAGATAATATTTAGACCAATTCAGCAGCCTCCCCACTCTGGGTGTGACATCACCACTGTAGCTGCTGAATGTTTCTCTTCATAGAGACCAATGTTCAGTGTTTCTCATTTTCAACCATTTTAACAAAGATTCAAACAAAGTGGAATCTTTTGAAAAGGACGAATGAAATTTAAACTTCAATCTACAGTAGATCAACCTCATCATCAGTGACCATCCATGACCCTGTCACTGGTTCACTGTTTGTCCTTAGACACTGTTGGTAGGTACTGACCACTGCAGACCAAGAACACCCACCAAGACCTGTAGTGTGGGAGATGCTCTGACCCAGTCATCTCACGATCACAGTCTGGCCCTTGTCAAAGTCACTCAGGTCCTAACGCTTGTTCGTTTTTATCACTTTCAATGCATCAAATTTAAGAACTGAGTGTTCACTAGCTGCATCACATCTCGTATCCCTTGACAGGTGCCACTCTTACAAGACAATCAGTGTATTCTTTTAATGTGTCAGTGGTCATAATGTTGTGGCTGATCAATGTACAGTGTTCTGCATTTTTGATAACTGAAGGTTGGCGCATCACCTAAACTCCCATAAAGTTGCATTTCCATGTCTGTCACCACTGATGCATCAAGAGACTCTGCTGTTGCTCCAGGTGCAATACTTGGAAAGCTAAGGAGCTTCAGGGTGGTTTGAGGTTTTACAACAATTAGATATATCACTGTTTATAATTCAGAAGCAGAAAAGGCCCATTTATCCTACAAAACACTTGTCTATGTTTTGTTTTGTTTTATTCCATTCACTTAGTTTGCTATACTTTATTATGTAGAAACAAGTACTGTATGCGAATCCTGTTCTATGATGGATTTAAGGATTAGAGGAGGTAGTGGGCTCAGTGATACTCTCAAACTTGGCACAGTCGCCCAAGGACATGACACTGTCAGCACATTGCTTACACTCATCTGCACAAGCACAGAGGTGTAACAGGGTGTAATTTAGGGGGCTATAATAGTGAGATGTGATGCTCAGTTGTAAGACAGCACGGCTAATTCCCTGGTTATGTTATCTCTGAGAGACAGATGTTCCCACCAAAGACTACTATGACTGCACCCACGGAACAAAAACAGCATACTGTACACAGAAACCATGTGCATACAGAGATGCACGAACACATAATCCTGGAACAATAAACAGCGGGATAGTCTAAAATAGCCCTATTGACCAAAAACACAGATCAGTGATAAAGATGATTTGTTTTGAGTTAATTATGAGACGTAATGAGTTTCTGCAGAGTACACTGAAGAGAAATACAACAGGTCTCACAGAAGGTTTTCTCAACAAATATTCAAAATGAGGAATATTATATAATGGACACCAACTTTTGCCAATGTATCAGAAGAGGGGGGAGGGACAGCTTTCCAATAAGACCACCATATCATCTTTTAATGATCCTATTAAGCCCCACAAAGCTGTGAGTAGTAGGCTAACTCTTTCACTCCGTCAGCTGCAAGGGTTTTTCCAGGTCAGGAACACTACATCCATTACCGCAGGATATCCATCTTATACAGGAAATGGTTTCACAGGAGAGGATAAAGGTCACTTGAGTCATGGCTTTTTTTTTTTATTTCCAAAGGCTGTCAGAAAACCTTTAGGTCTGATAACATCACTCCCATTATGTCGTCAATTCACAGTGCGAATGCGCGGTCACACCATAAAGAATGTAATGCAGATGAGCACCGTGCAGTTCTTATCTGTCGAACCTCAAGTCAGGAGAGTCGATTTTGTCCTCGGGCCTCTTTGTCTCACCAGTCTGAATTTCTGTCACCTTCCATTGTCTCCACTCAGCATCAAAGAACATCCATAAAACCTTTCCGGCATTCAAACACAGCATCAATGCTTCAAAAACACAAACAGTGGCTTCGAGAGGTTGAAAGAATTGCTTGTACACTTTGTAGCAATTTTGAGTGGTTGAGCATGATTTCAAGAGGACAATTTACACAAAGGAAAATGTGAATGTGTGTATACACAGCAAAACTGCCTCTCAAACCCGTTCCCCCTCTGAGCCCTATCCTCCCTCCTGTTTCCATTTAACTGGTTACAGCTTTTAAGTCTCCAGATTTCGATAATTTCCCCCCTAATCCCTTCAGAGGAGCACCCTGCTTAACTCTCTAATTAAGTCAACAATACACACATACAGCGACAAAGGATATATAGCACACGTGCAGTTTGTAGCAGTCAGCTTATCTGGTCCACAAACAGTTGGTGGTTTCTGTGATGATGTGTTTGTGTGACTGTATTTCAATGATTAAGTCCCAATCAGGATGTTAGGAGGACACATGAATTTTTAAGATGTTGTTCCAGGATTATTCTCCCCTCCGCTCATCTCATTAATGCCGATTATTAAAAAACATACAGGCATGCGGGCGCATAGACAAATACTAATTGTGGGTTGGTTTCCCTGGAGACTGAATGCATGTTGCTGGGGTCTCCAAATATACAGTAGCTTAATACACAGGTTAAAAAAAAAAAAGTGTTTTATGTACAGATGTATGTCAGGCATCAACTGTGTATGCAACAATTTTTTTGTAATCTGAACACTGAAACCTTGAGGCCAGTTTGAAACCATAAAATAAAAATCAAACCTTGCTGCATTGCATTATATCTATACAAGTGCCATTATTACTTTTTTGCCTCTCGAGAGGCATTTTGGCCTTTCAGAAAGTGATGTTCAGCACAGAGTGGAAAGAATGCAAGCAAACAGTGAGTGTCCTTTCCCAGTGGCTGAATGTGTCCTTGTGTACAAAATGCACTCCCTCTCTCAGAAAGAAAAAAAAATCCTGCAGTGCTGAGGCTGATGTACAGGTGAGAGAATGGCCAAGGATTTTGACATCACCCTAGGCTTTGTGTCCACTATGGTCCACTTACACTAGGTCAGCTCAGAATAACCAGAAAGGGCTCATCGCCAGTGTTCACTACCCCTGGAGTCATTAATCATACTGCACTGGCGAGGAGCTGCACACACACACACACGTAGAAGAACACACATACACAGTAGAGCCCAGTTTTAATTATAAAGCCAAATGCTAGATGGCAGCTTTGCTCCAGGTAGTCAGTCCTCAAGGCCTGTACGCCTTGTGCATTATCATACACTGAACAGACATGAATATTTCTGAGCAAAGCCCAGTCCACAAATAACAACACATCATATCACATTAGGTTATAATAAACTGCAGCATTTATAATGTGTGTGTGTGTGTGTGTGTGTAGTACATATATGCCAGTCAGCCACAACATTACGACCACCTGCCTAATACGATGTACACAGGACTCAATGCTGCAGCTGGTCGGCACTTGTATCACTTTGCAGCTCCTTGTACTTCTTCTGTGAATCTGTTTGCTTCCATTGCTCTACTGTCAGGAAGGTCATGAATGTGTGAAAAACGAAAAGAAGTGAAAGGAGTTAGAGATCATTTTTTAGACTAATTCAGCAGCCTCCCCACTCTGGGTATGATATCACCACTATAGCCTTTGAATGTTTCTCTTCATAAAGACAAATGTACTGTGTTTCTCATTTTCAATCATTTTAACGACTCAAACTAAATTTAATCTTTTGAAAAGGTTGAATGAAATATAAAGGTTTAATCCACACTGAGCCGAGGGCATCCATGACCCTGTCACCAGTTCATTGTCTGTCCTTCCTTAGACACTGTTGGTAGGTACTGACCACTGCAGACCGGGAACATCCAACCAGACCTGGGAGATGCTCTGACTCAGTCACCAGCCATCACAGTTTGGCCCTTGTCAAAGTCACTCAGATCCTTATACTTGAACGTTTTTCCTGCTTCCAGTACATCAGTTTCGAGGACTGAATGTTCACTTGCTGCTTAATATACCCCACACACTGACAGGTGCTACTGTAATGACATAATCAGTGTTATTCATGTCACCTGTCAGTGGTCATAATGTTATGGCTGATGGGTGTATATACAGTATATTGCTATAAAGAGCAAGATCTCCTAACGTTCCCATTTATAGGTTATAAATTCCTTCAAAGGGGTTGTGCAGCACTGGGTGCCTGTCGAGTGTTATTTTTGTTAACAGGCACAGTGCATGGAGCAATACTGATGTGATGTGTGTTGCAGCAGGAGCGTCACATGCAACAGTCCCTCTACAAAAGGCATCTGGGAAGAAAACAGTTCATAAAAATAAAAATAAAAAAACTTGACAAAACATCACTTTCACAAGCGTTCTAGCTAGTATATTTTGCAGGTGCACAAAAACTAAGGTATGAACTTCATTTTAAAATGCTGTTACAGTATGATAGAAAAATCAAACTGTCAAATAAAAAAAAAACTATCATGTCGATTAAAGTCCAATTTATGTTTTAGTAAGGGCCGTGTGCTACATAAAAAATTCAGATGTTAGAAACTTCTTTGCCCGCAGGAATCAGCTGCATGTGTAGCTGTCTACCACTCAGATACATAAACTGCCTCTTCACCTTGCTGCACTCAGTTGTAAAAAATATAAAAGAAAGTGAAAAGCATCCATCCATGATTGCGCCATGCTATTACAGTATATAACCGTGTCTGACAATTTTAAAAGGCTCTGATGCAAAAACTAGCTGCTGCAGTCTGAGATGGAAACACTGAGATGTTGTAAGAAGAGCCGAAGCAATTAATGTGCTGCTTTTGTGCATTTTCGTTTGTGTGCATCAATGTATTGTGTATGTCTGATTGTAGAAAGCACACGTGGGTGTGTATAAGAGGTAAACACATTCAAAGGTATTTTGCTTTTGCTGCTGGTGAGAAGCTCAAAAACAAATTCCTTTCTTCAGCATTTCAAGAATATTAAGGGAAACATTACTGAAGTATGCACTTACTTGATCAAAAGAATTACTAGAGTGAAAGAGATTGTGTAGACTATAGCTTTTAATTGTGTAAATATCACTCGACTTCAAGTTTGATCTGCGATAGACAAGTGACAGGATCACCAGTAAAAAAGACACTTTAGAGAATAGGGTGCAGTCAATGTTCCATTGGTGCCTCTGCATTGTCCTCCTCTTCATCACTACAGGGTTCATAGTCTTCATCCAAGACTGGGTCTCCCTCCTCTCCATCCATCTCTCCTCCCAGCTCACCCAGCAGCTGCTCCACATGCTCCAACACAGGCTGGTCATCACACTGCAGCTTACTGTACAGCTGGGGAAGAGAGAGAGGAAAGGAAACAAAACAAAAAAAAAAGATGATACCAGTGTGTAATAGGCTAGTAAGGAGACTAGAAAAATGGACATTTTAAATAGAAAGTAGGTTATGACGCAGAAATCTTGAGAACACGAAGTGTAAAATTATACTGCAGAAGAAATATAAGATATGAGTTATGTGAGTAAAAGGTTCTCAACAGGAGCTCGTCCGCTGTGTCACTGAAGCTAACAGCGATTCAGTACAGCATCAGTAAGCAGCAGCTTGAAGTTGAGGGAAGTGAGCAGCCCCAAGGTTTTAAGCCACTAAGTGCTAGTTAGACTGGCCTGAAATATCCCACAGCAGCTGCGTTCCGTCAGCGAGGCAGTCACGGCTTGCAAAACGCTGGTAAACAGTTTTTGTCTTTCGTTTGGCAAATCAGCACATTTGATACTTCGTTCAGCCGCACAGGACACAAAAATACCATTTATCTTCCTCTTGCTGCTGCAACATGCACACACACACAATCACACGCACAGAGGGATGTATTCTGAAGCACATATGGTTATGTGGCACACATGTGCACGTAGCCACACATAATCAGAGTTGTTATCTCAGTGAAATATGCCGTGAACGAGCGAGATAAAAAAGTCCTGTTCTCAAAGCCAGCCAGCAGATTTATCTCTGTAAAATACTCTGCTTGTGTGTAATTACTGAACTCAAAGTGGAGTTTAGTGATAAAACTACTGGAGCTACCACTAAAGACAGAAAGCATAACACTGAGTTTCTCTGTGTGCATACAGAGTAAGGGGAACTGAGAAAGCAGTTTATATTTCTTTTTCTTTCCAGAAAAAACAGGAAAGAAACAGGCGTGAACAGCGAATGATTTATATGAGTTAGGAATATTCTTCTATTTAGTCAACCAAATGTACTTAATACAAATGATACGGCCGGTAATTTTCTATATTAACAGTATTTTCAACATTCCCCATACAGAGCCAGTCCCAGCTGACACTGGGCGAGTGGTGGGGTCCACCCTGGACAGGTCTATCACAGGGCTGACATGTAGACAAACAACCACACACACCCACTCACTTCTACAAGATGCCAATCAACCTAAGCTGCATGTCTTTGGACTGTTGGAGGAAGCCAGAGAACCCAGAGAGAACCTACGCGGGCACAGGGAGAATTTGCAAACGCCGCACAGAAAGGCTCCAGGTCGTCCCAGGCTTGAACTCGGAACCTTCTTGCTGTGAGGCGACAGCGCTAACCACCGCGACGCTGTGCCATCGTTCTTACTAAAAGTCTAACAAGGCCAGGAGAGTGAAGTGTGTGTGTGACTGTTTTACCCCAGCACCAGTCTCTAAGCAACAGCAGGTCCTGACAGGAGACATTCAGTCCCATGGGAACTCATTTGGAGTGTACAAATGTGTAGTGTGAATGTGTGTGTATGTATATTTAAGTGGATGCTGTCTCTCCAGGTTGGAGCCCCAGGGAGGTGGAGTGTAACCCAAGCCCAAGCACAGGGTCTGATACTAGGAGAGAGCCGACCCTCTCAGTCTCCTTAAAGCATCACACACATGCATACAGAAAACAACACGGTGATTTTCATTCTGCTGCTGTCACTCTAGGATGCCTGGAGATGTTTATCCACAATGAACGCTCCGAATAAAACTTGAGGTTGCTTTACAATATGCTAGGCTCAATATCCACAGCCATTGCAGCCTTGGGTAAGGCGTCTTTTATATGAGTTGCATTAAAGAAATTATGTAGGAGAACACAGGGAATGTGTGCAGACATACTGTATATTCTATAATACAGAATGCTATCTGAAAATGGTATTTTTACACTATGTGGAGATATTTACTACGAATCAATAGCAAAGTGTGTCTGCTGGATAGGATGTGATTTATTCACTGTGATGCTTTCAGCTAGCTAAACAAACAGGAGCCATTTCTTACACATTGCGCCCGAGCACTGCTGAGATCAGCACCGCCGTCGCAAAAACACCGGCATTTCTCATTTACTACAGCCTATGTTTTCTCTTCTCACTTTCACGGCTCAGAGAGCTGCCTAGGACGGGGGGAGTGGATGTGTGTGTGTGCGTGACTGTATAACTTTTTCAGGGTCCACTTTGCTCTACTTTCAAATCCTAAGTCACAGCCCTAAGCACACCTGGCCACAGCCATAGCAACTTACAAATACATACACAAGGATGCATGGGCACATCTGTTCTCACTGTCCAATTCTTTATTGGCCATGCCAATGCAGTGGCTCAAAAAATGGCAATGCAGATCAGTCAGTTTGTTTCTTGATCCACCATGAAATATCACCACAACTACTGGATGAACCAGATGAAATTAAATTTTGAACAATCATGATCCTCAGAGGATGAATACTGTTCACTTTTGTAGATCCCCTGTTTTATCCTCTAGCACCTCCATGTGTTCAAAGTGAAAGATCTATTGAAAGATTTGCCATGACGTTTAGTACATACATCCCCTGGAGGATGGAAATGAGTGACTGTGGTTATCCAGCCAGCAGGTCAGAGTACTTATGCAATAAAATATCTCAACATCTACTGCATAATTTGGCAGCAAATTTGCACATTCAGACATCCAAATGACTTCTGTGATCTCCAGGGATTTCCTCTAGTGCCACCATGAAGCTGACATTTTAGCATTTTTATTGCAGTATCTCAAAAACTATTGACTGTGAAATTCTGTATTGACATTCATGGCCCATGAAGCTTCTTCCTTTGTAGCAAATGAACGTCTCATCTAGCGTGATTATCAGATCAAAGCTTAACTTTGTCCAATACATACAGGTTATGAATAAAAACCTAAAAAATGAATGTCATTCTCATGAGGTACAGTGACGATTAGCATTGTTAGCATGCTCAATTGCCAAACTAAGATAATGCACAGGTTAAACATTTTATTTGTTAAAAATCATTAGCATGTTACCATTCTGGCTTTAGCATTTAGCTAGTACCCTGTACACATGAGCAGCCTCACAGGTTCACTAGTGAATTTGCAGGCTCTGAAGTCTGGATTTGCCTGATGTTAAAAATGAAACAGCATTTTCATTTAATTTCAAACAGGATAAAATGTCATTCATCTTAAAAAATAAAAACAATCTAACTATTGAGTGATGATGTACAAGTTTCTCAACTTTTAAACACTACCTTTTCAAAATGTCTTACTGTTTATTAAACACATTGTTCAGTGCTTCTGCTTGTTCACCCACAGTTGTCAATGTAAAACTTGTGATTTTTTTTCCTGAGCTGCAAGTTTCCAGACATTTAATGACATGATGTGGCAAAAACCAACATGGCAGCATCCACAGTTAAGAAATGTCTACAAAGGAGAGTTTGACTTCATGACAATGACAATATCATCTCTAGTTCTAAATAAAGGAACTGAAGAGGCAGATGAAATTCAATACAAAACCTGACTGTGTTTGCTTCAGGCGCACGGTGGAAGGGTTTCTGAAGCTGAAAGAGCCTTCAGCTTATTTATGTCCATTATATTTAAAACAGTACAGACTTAACAGTTAAAAAAAAGGAAAGAAAAACAAAATGTAAGTACAAAAACATAAGCAATGGCATAAAAAAAAAATCACTCCCATATCTTTAATTCATTACTTTGCATACATTTATAATATGATTCATCATAAATTATCTAAAAGTGCTTGCTTTTGTCCAGTATGCACTGGACAAAAAGTGTAATAATGACCACTACTGTACCCTTCACACAAAAAAATACTTTTTTCTTCAACTCTTGGTAGAAATCTTTATTATTCATATGGCAGAATAAAGACAGACTGATTATGTGATCAAAGCCTAATCATTCCATCATTGTTCACCTTAAGTTTCACAGCTATGCTCACTTTCCCCTTCGCGTTCACCTCTTCTCCCATTGCACTTCCTAACGACTTCATTCTCATGACTTCTCTCCTGACCATTTCCCCCTCGTGCACTCTGTCTTTGGCTTTCTTTCACTCGCGCTCATACACTTTCACCAAATGACGTTCTTGCCAAGGAGACAGATACATCTTAATACTTTCACATCTTATATGCGCACTTGCATCAAAGCACATCCACCATTTTGGTTGTCTGCTGACAAAATCAAGCTTCCTCTGCACCTACTGCATCATGTCATTAGTAAAAGAACAAAAGCTTTTCTTCTTCTTAACGTACTCTGCCATACACATACCTCTTTAGAGATATAGGTGTGAATGGAGCTAGAAGTGTCACTACAAACTCACAAGCACACACAACTTAACACTTCAGTCCTCCAGT